AGTGACCCCATCAATTTTTACTACATTTAAAACTAAGAAAATAAATAATTTTATTACTTACTCAGACATAAAAGCTTTGGTGCAACTGACTCGCTCGCTGATATCGCACATTGCCATGTAATTATGATCCTTCTCCTTGGTTGTCTCAACAATATACGCGTAGTAAGATAAGGACATGCCGACAATACAAGATGTTATTATTCCAGCGTTCACTTTGTCTAGCTTTTTGCTAATGTTAATTAATGATTGCCGGGCGGCAACACTACTAGACGTCGTCATTGTTGTTCACAGGTAAATTATTTATATCTTCTTGTAAAATTTTTAAATTATTATATCGCATACTATTGAGTCATAAGACTAATTATTCCATATGCTACACTTGGCAGATGTAAACAAGCGTTGACATTTGCAGAAATAAAGTTTACTTTTACGATGATTACACACAAATGCGTTTGTATTTGACAAGTTCCTCTAACATGCGCAAGCGTATTGATAATAAGATAATAACTTATTCATTACATTGCATTGCCCTTTAGACTTTACTTAGCATGTGAGCGTAGGACTCTCTCTCGGTTTAGTTCTGTCTCGTATCAATACTCCGCATCATTCACCAAAATGTTCCGACTTGCGCAATACTTTACTATCTTTCTCTCTCACACACTATTTTTTTATCTTCAATATAATAATTGCAATTTTTACACAATCTCTTTTATTATTTTCAGAAAATAATGACAATAATATGATATAGGTATAAAGTTTAAAATAATTTTATATCATAGAATATAGAACTTTTAAAATTTAAATAGACAGCACAAAAAATGAAAATTATTATAAAGATGGCAGCAGTAGTATACTTCCAACATTTAGGAGCGCTTGTCCCACGTTAACACATGCTCTTTTCGTTTAGGACTTCAACATGGTATGTTTCTGTGCTTTTTAAATCCAATAACATCTAATAATAAATAAACAATTTTATAAAAAATTGTTTTTCATAATTATCAGTGGGGTTTTTAATTTTTGTTTTTATTATTATTTCATTTCAAAACTTAGTCTTGCAAATAATTTTTTTTTTTTTTTAAGAGGTTATGTTTTTTCACACCCTGTCACTGATTTGCTTGAGAATATTTAACTCTAAAAAGTAATTAAATAATATATTTTTTCATTATTATGATAATAATAATTTTATTTTTACAGGCGCGAGGACCTAAGCACCACTTAAAGCGTTTACATGCGCCAAAAGCATGGATGTTAGATAAATTAGGTGGTGTTTTCGCCCCTAGACCGTCAACCGGTCCACACAAGCTGAGGGAATGTCTTCCCTTGGTAATTTTCCTACGTAACAGGCTAAAGTATGCCCTGACCAACTCAGAAGTGACCAAAATTGTCATGCAACGTCTGATCAAAGTTGACAGCAAAGTTCGCACAGATCCCAACTACCCAGCTGGATTCATGGGTAATTATTTATTTGCTTACAATTAAATCTGGCAGTTTCGAAGCTACGATTATAACTTAATTTATTATTGTAGTCAAAAATTAGCCAATATAAAAGCCGCTTTTATGGTCACTGACTAAATTATTATAATATTTCCTCAGTACTACCCAAAGTGGATACATTTTATTTTATGAAAATAAAGTTAGCCGACATTTTAAAATTTTTAGAAATTTTTTATTGAAAAAATTTCAATTAAACAATTAAAAAAAAAAAAAATTTCACCTGTCGAAAACTTAAAAAACTATAAGTGCAATTTTTTTGAAATATCTTTTTAGTTGTAATTTAATTAAAAACAAAAATCAAAAATTTTTAAACGTCTGCTAACTTCAGTGTCATTATTTTATGAAAATAAAGTTAGCCGACATTTCAAAATTTTTAGAAATTTTTTATTGAAAAAATTTCAATTAAACAATTAAAAAAAAAAAAAAATTTCACCTGTAGAAAACTTGAAAAACTATAAGTGCAATCTTTTTAGTTGTATGTAATTTAATTGAAAACAAAAATCAAAAAATTTTTAGACGTCTGCTAACTTCAGTGTCATTTTATTTTTATAAATTTACTCTAATTTTATTTATGTAATATGAAATCTTAATTAATAATAGATGTCGTCAGTATTGAGAAGACCGGCGAATACTTCAGATTGATCTACGACGTGAAAGGACGTTTCGCAGTCCACAGAATCACCGCCGAGGAAGCGAAATACAAATTATGCAAAGTCCGTAAAGTTCAGACCGGACCTAAGGGTATTCCATTCTTGGTAACCCACGACGGGCGTACCATCCGTTATCCCGACCCTGTAATAAAAGTAAACGACACAATTCAATTGGAGATCGCTTCGTCTAAAATACTTGACTCAATTCGATTTGAACCCGGTAACTTGTGTATGATTACTGGCGGAAGAAATTTAGGGCGTGTTGGTACTGTCGTAAATCGTGAACGTCATCCAGGTTCTTTCGACATTTGTCACATTAAAGATGCCCAAGGACATACTTTTGCTACTCGGTACGTAATTTTATATTCTTGTATTTATACTAATACCAGTACTTACTGGTATTTTAAATTACATGTAAAATGAAACATGCTATTTATCTTGGTATTGATTTATTCTTTCAGATTGAACAATGTTTTTATTATCGGAAAGGGAACAAAGGCCTACATAAGCTTGCCCCGAGGTAAAGGTATTAAGCTCTCAATCGCTGAAGAACGTGATAAGAGATTAGCGGCTAAAGGTGGCAACTAAATGTAGTGGTATGGGAGAAATTTTTTTTTTTTTTAAATAAATCAACCACCATCTACTGAAATTTATTGTCTTTTTTTCCATTTTTTTTATTCATTATATTTTTATTTTACAATTTCTACAAAAAATTGATATTTTCATCTAGTAGAATAACTTAGTGCATTTAAGATAGAATATAAGTAAATAATTAATTAGATATATATATATTATAATATAAAAAAGACGATAGTAAATGGCAGTACGAGGAATTGTGGAATTATTTATTGGGAAGCCAAATTTCTGAAGTCAACTCTAATTCTTGACGCAAAAGCTGATTGCATCTTTCGTCTCCATACTTACCAAAATCTCGATTAATATCTTTAGCTACTTTAATAAATCTGTTGGTAATTAAAATAATCATGATCTATTTAAATAAATTTCAGATAAAAATATTTAAAATAAAATAATTACTTTTGAACAGATAAAACATTATTTTTTATCTCTCGTTCCGTAGTCTTGGTTTCTCTTGTGTTGATTGGATGCTGGAAATCAACATTGTCGACTAGTTTACAATTAGTAAAAGGGTATGTACGGATCCACCCACCCTCACGGATCTTTGGGTTGCTCCAGTCTCGTCCATTATCCCAGACAAATGTACCAGGATGATTGTTACTTAACTTGTGAGCTGAGTTCAACCGTTGGCGAAGACTTTTTTCGAGGCAAAGGAAGTTGTACCTTGAGCATGAGTTTCCGTAATTTTCATCTGCGTTTGAGTGTCTGAACTGCAAAAATTAATTATTATTATTTCAGTCCGCATTATTTTATAATTTATAAACTCACTATATCTCGGTTATTTGAACAAATATTTACGAGAGGTTTTCCGGAACACCGTGACTTATAATACTTGGAAGCACAGTAATCATTGTCAATACTTTGATTATTAGGTGTAGTTGACCAGATTTTAAAAAGTGAAAGACCGGTGTTGCATACTGGCAGACCCAACAAGTCAAATAAATCATGAAGCAGTGGCTTTTTAACTTCAAAGTCGACTTCACAATCATTTCCAAGTGCTGGGCTTATATTTACCTGTTGATTTATTTATTTTTTCTAATAATACATTAAAAATTTTAAGTAATTATTTACAAGTAGGGTCAACTCCATTTTGGACCATAACTACACGGAAAGAACAAGATGACACTGGACATCATCCCAGATTCTACTGAGTGGAAAAAAATTTTAGATAGTAGCTAGTATAGTCCAGATATCGCGCAGTATAATCTGGATTTTTCTAGCTACTATCTGAAATTTTTTTTCACCACAGATATCACTGAGCATAATCTGGGATGATATCCAGTGTCATCTTGTTCTTTCCGTATAGGTGAAAAATTAATATTTTAAAATTTTTTTTTATTCTGCTTGTTTTTACGACGCATTTATGATAAAAAATGTCGTGAAAGAAAAAAATAAAGATTTCGATAGCATTTTGCCTTGAAAAGTTGGAAAAAATTTTGACTCATATTTTTGGATAAAAATTTTATTTTGTATTTTTTGAAAAGTACATAAGAAAACGAACAATTTAAAAAAAAAAAAGTTGAATATCACAATCTTCTATAAAAAATTTATAAATTTTTTTGAAAATTTTTAAAATTGTGATAATTAACTTTTTTTTTTTTTTAATTTTTCATTTTTTTTATGTATTTTTCAAAAAAAATATCAATAAAATCTAGGTAATAGAAATTTCGTTGTAAATATTTTCCAAATTTTATTTTTATTTTAAATTTCAAAGGAAAATTAATAGTTAAATAAACCTCCAACAACCAGGGCTTAAGATCAGCGTCAATCAAAACGTCAAAGCCGAAAAATTCAAAACAATTAGAAGTCTCTGGAATGCCTGCAGTTTGACTAAGAATAGTAAGAGTTATAAGACAGGCAATTCGCTGCCAAAGGAACCAGTCGTGGAAGCCCGATTGATTCATGTATCTTCTCAATTGTCGGAAACTCCATTTCGAGCCTAAATTAAAATAACATTTAAACAACAAACAATTTTCCAATAATAGTGTGGAATTTTACCTGCACCGACTCGCTCTTTCTTTTGCGAGTATCCCGGTCCCAGTTTATTCAAAGCAAAATTAGTAAGATGTCGAAAGGGATCGCTGAGATTGTCAAGTGAAAATTTCGAGGTAGCAAACCGTGCCAGGCCCTCATTGTAAATATAAATAACAAGAGGTCTGTATGACGGAACACATACGTACAATCTTAAATCAAATTTGTACCCGCCGATAAGAAGAGGCTTCTCAATATATTTTTGAACTACAGCAGTACTGTCATACGTCAAGTCACTCAATCGCTAAATAAATTACAAAAATCAGTATTAGCACAGCATACCTCAGCTAATCTATATTTAAAAAATATATAGTAATATATTATTAATAACAGAATACCCGAAATAGGAAAATACCACGTCCTTGACTCTGTCCAACGGGCTTGCATATCCACACTCGTTCGTCCTTCTCAGAGCGACTGCAGTCTGCCGCAAGCTTCGTGTACTCTGATGGAAGATTATATCCTACCGGACTGACGTATTTAATGTGATTGTTGGCAACAATATAAACAATATTTAACGTTATAAATTTTTATACAGACCTGATGTCGTAAATATTCCCGTATATCTGTCTCATGCACTTCAAATGCCGTACGAGATTGTCTTTTTTACATATCGAGCTGCCTTTTGGTATTCGGTTGATAAATTGTCCCGGCAGTAAATTTTTATAGTACGTGCTACTGAATCCACCCGATTTCCACCACAGGTTCCACCGATCCTTCAGAGAACTATTGTCTCCGGTGTATTCTCGCCATCCGCGTTCTATACATACCTAGGATTTTTAAAATATATTTCATGATACGTCACTTTTAATTAAAATTTTATTAATATTAATAATAAATAATCAATTGAAAAGTTAGCCACCTGTACAAGAAGATTCGGTCCACCACCATTGTCGTTGATTCTAAAAACAAAAGGTCCATCGAGATACTTATCGTTCATTTCACACCCGTAACTCCCATTTATTTTTCTATTTTATTTTTTATTTAAAGCAGCACAAATATGAATACCTAAAATAAATTATAATTTTAGAGATAACAATTTACTAAAAATCTATTTGGAATATTTATAGAAAAACTACGTTCATAAGACTATTAAGAAAAAAAAAAATTTTTCTTTTCTTTACAAAAAGATACAAAATAAAAAAAATTGAAAAAAATTTTATTGTAAATTTTAAAATTCAAAAAAAAAATTTTAGAACGTACTTGGTGTGCGTCATTGTGTATTTCAATTTTTTTTTAAGTCCTAGTAAATAGATTTTACAAATTTCATTAAAAGTAAAATATTTTGCAACCAGGCACACTAAATACGTTCTAAAATTTTTTTTTAATTTTTAAATTTACAATGTATTTTCAATTTTTTTTTTAAGTCCTAGTAAATAGATTTTACAAATTTCATTAAAAGTAAAATATTTTGCAACCAGGCACACTAAATACGTTCTAAAATTTTTTTTTAATTTTTAAACAATCATATCGGTTACTTGGATTTTTTTAATTTTTTTTATTTTGTATCTTTTTTGTAAAGAAAAAAAAAAATTTTTTTTTTTTTCCTAATAGTCTTATGAACGTGGACTTGGCGCGATTTTTTATACAGTGAAACTGTTTTTGTTCGGATAGAGAAATAAAGTATCAAAATAAAAATATCAATGAAACAAGTGATGGACCACTTGCAACACTCGTAAATATTTTTGTTTAATAATGCAAAATAGATTTTTAGACCGCAGAAACAATAACAACAACAACAACAAGTACACGCGAGATTGGTAGCTCAATATTTCTTTATATCTTTACTAACGAGATCGCGTTTTAAACATGCAAGCCAAACTTTTATATTAATTCCACAACTTACATGCATTTGAAAAAATTTTCATATTTCAGTCATCACTCGATAATAATAATAAACAATTTATGATACGGAAGTTAACAAAGATTTGATCATTTTTAAGATTTTTATTGATAAATAATTTATTTCAAAGAAAAAAATTATATGTATAGAAATTTCAAAAAATTATTGGCAGTAATTTATTAAAAAAAAAAATCAAAAGTGATTAGATGTCTGTGAATTTCTGGATCATAACATTTTAAAAATTTATTTAAAATTCCAGGTGTCTTGTCACTGCAGTTGACTCGGAATAGAGTATAATGTAAACTAAAATGTCACTAACAGGCTTAAACCTCAAAGCAAAGGTAATTTACCTTAAAAGAAAAAAAATTTAGAGATATTGTCGGTATTTTTGATGAAATCTCGCGTGTTTAAACGAAGCGCGCAAGGTTACAGCACAGTTAACAACTGATCGATGGATCGTCTTATATATCTTGAATTGTAGAGGATGAATGATGGGAGCCCGAGCAGACCACGGACTTGTTTCCCCGAACGCAATGCACAGTAGACTGATACTTATGCTAGCTGGCTGGCAGACTGTAGGTTGATGTCCCAGTGAGGTTCCTCCTGCTCCTGCTGCTCTGCTCTCGTGGTTCTGCAAACTTGTGGACTAGTAAGGGTTCGTGCCGGCAATCTTGTACACGCATTACCGTTGTCAACCCTAATGGTCACGAGACAGACGTTCTTTTATTTATTTACCTCGATTCACGCGATCAATGTCACATCCCTCATTTTCCAATTATTCTTATAAAAAAAATGTCATACTTTAATGTAGTTGTGCTTATAATTGATGTTACCAGTCATTGCTAGAGAAGGAGGAGACCAAGGACTTTATTCAATAAATAAATTATTATCATCATCATCATCATCATCATCATCATATATATATATATATATAGGTGATTCTCTGTAAGGAAGTCTTAAATTTGTACAAAATTGTCCGACCAAATTATTTTTGATTTTATTAGAAAAAAAATTAACAAGGGCTATAAAACTATCAGCTTAATCACATAATAAATAACACAGCCGATTTAATTTTTGCTTTTTCTATATTTGTGTATCTTTTGCCATGTAACATGACAGGGGACTGTTTGCCAGGGGACTGTTTTTTTGTTATCAAATTGAGAAAAATCAAGCAAACTATTTAAATGCATTCAACTTTTCAAGTTCTCAATGAATGTTTGCATAATTAGAATAATATTAAGACTTATGGATCCAATTTTATAAATAAATTATAAATAAAAATAGCTGCCAGGGGTCTGAGTTTTGAAGTGGCCCAGACACATATTTCCAGCACAAACGGTGCTTTGACACTAAATAAAATGCCGATAAAGCGCTAACAGCCCTATGGTTATTAACTCAAGGCTAGTTAGGTCCTTATAAACCTTACAAAAGGTAAAATAACACGCTGGATTTTTTTTTGGCTTTGAACTTCTGGCAGGGGACTGTTCTTAAAATGCCTGGGGCAAACTTTGGTTTAATGAATTTAATGAAACAAATTAATTTTCGGTACTTTTTATTGAAGAAGATTGATGTAAGTTAACTAATTAAGTTTATAAACATTATGGACCAATTTATATATTATGGACGAATAACTTAAAATTTAATCTTAAAGTTTTAATTTTGAGAATGAGACAGCCTAGGGGACTGTTCGGCTGCCTAATTTCAAAACACAGTAACTAACATTCAAAAATTTTTTTCAATTTTTCTTATTAAAAAAAAGTTTGCCCGCCAAATTAATGACAAATTTGATTTATTAATTGAAACTACTCAAATATAAATATTTAAAAAAAAACAAAATACAAACTTTGGTTTAATGAATTTAATGAAACAAATTAATTTTCGGTACTTTTTATTGAAGAAGATTGATGTAAGTTAACTAATTAAGTTTATAAACATTATGGACCAATTTATATATTATGGACGAATAACTTAAAATTTAATCTTAAAGTTTTAATTTTGAGAATGAGACAGCCTAGGGGACTGTTCGGCTGCCTAATTTCAAAACACAGTAACTAACATTCAAAAATTTTTTTCAATTTTTCTTATTAAAAAAAAGTTTGCCCGCCAAATTAATGACAAATTTGATTTATTAATTGAAACTACTCAAATATAAATATTTAAAAAAAAAAAAAATACTTGAAATTAAGGTTTAAAAGTTATAAAAAATGCAGCAATACTAAAAAAAATCAGGCATAAAAATTTTGCAGTTACTGTGTTTTAAAATTGGGCAGCCGTGTTATTTTGGTGGTTTACGAATTTATAGCAAAAAAAACCAAAATTTATTTCATTTTAGTTTTCAATATGCTCCAAATAGAAATGTTTTTTTACTTTCGTAATAAATTTGTTTCAGTAACAAAATAACAATTTTTCTAATAAAAAAAATGCCTGGGACAGCAAAAAACATCCTTACAGAGAATCACTCATATAACTATATTTATTTATTTTAAGCAACACAATACAGAGTTTATTTTCTATTCCGCGATAATTAAAAATAATAAATTTTTATTTATCATTTATTTCTTCCCGTATTCATCTAGCAGTTGTAAATCTTTGGTTATAAATTAATACATTTAATTGACTCGTTTTTGCGGTAAATATTATTGTCAAGAACAATTTCATTGGCACAGGGTAATTATTTAGTTGAAAAGTTTTATGCTTGCTTCTACAAGAGATAGTATAACATAATAGCTTTGGATACAATTAAAATGAATTCAAGTTGTAAAAAGCCATTTAGCTATAATTTACCTCTACTAGTTAAGCTGTCTCAATAATTATTTAAGTTACTTTTTATGCAGTGCATCACGCAATACCATACAACTGGCTTTCTGTCTAGATGGTATGTGCACTAAATAAAATTCGTCTTGACATTTGTTTTAAATAACTTGCTATGTCTTATAATACATTTACATTTATCGGATTCTATATTTACGTATATTTATAAATATTCCGTAATTAACGTTTGTTACAAATTATTATTAAAATATATATCGTACGGATGTAATTAACAATTGTAAATTTGTCGTAATATCTAATTACAGCGGTGACCTTTGCGTGTGCATCATAGCTTCATAAAGCTTTCCTTCTGATTATTGTTAACTTATTGGGGTACACAACACGCCCAGTTTAATCAACCTCGATACAATTTAAAAGTTGTTCGAGTAATACAGATTTATACACAGTTTTATCCCCTCGTAAAATATATTATGTCATTAATAATTATTATTAATATTTGTATAAATATACAATATATTTATTCCCAAGAGAACACGCCACAAATCATGAGCTTTTTATTTTATAGTTGTTATTATATCAATCTTATCTCTAAAAATTCAAAATGATCTAGTTATTCTTCAGTTATTTATTAAAGTGCTCATCATTATTATAGTTGAATAAAGCAATATGATTATTTTTTTATTATTATTTTAACCATATATCAGTAAATAGAATTCTGATTCGATTCACAGACAATCAATCATTAGACTTATTCTCTGTACAGTTAGCATTCGATTAAACTCATAACACATAAGCTTCTTTAGTTCAAATATATTTAATTTGTTAAAAGTGAATACAAAGAAGTATGGGCCAGAACGAGATCCGGAAATTTGTGGAGAAGTCGGAAAAAAGGGCAAAATAATTGGGAGTGCAGAATATGTAAGAAAGAAGATGAGACATTGATGCACATACTAAGCTGTATGGAGATAAAAGAAAAATTAAGTGAAAAAGGACAACTAGCAAGAAGCAGGTGGATGAGCAAACTAGAGGGGTAAGTAACAAGGGAAAAGTTATTGGCAATGTTAAAAGGGGAAATAAATAGGGAGCTATGTATATATATATGTTGGAGAAATTGGAAGACTATTTAAAGAGAATGAGTATTGCAATATTGAATGTCAGAAAAAGGCTGTCATTAATATACAGGTATAGATACTAGGTGACTATAAGTATGAAATAGTATTGTAATGCGACTGTGATAGGAAGGTTGAGGTGTGACAAAAGTTAAAAGAAAGTACAAAAAGTGAAAATTAAACCAGAAGTTAGTGTATATGCAAATGTAAATAATTAAATTAAGATACAGTTTTGTAAAACACAATATGTAATACAATTAAAAACGATATTCTATATTTAATTTGTTTTAAATAAAATAAATATATAATATAAGTTGCTGAAGCTATTATTTATATTTATTTATTTATTTATTTCAAATAGAATATAGGCCGATCGGCTATATACATATAAGGTTTTTACAAGATTAAATAATTGAATGATTAGATAGCATCATTTTTGTGCATGAAGAAATTATTGCACAGATTAATAGACTAATCGAGTAGTAATAAGTTTTTTACATTAGATCCAAAGGAGGAGAGAGAACCACCGAAGTAATGTAACTCAGTACAGTGATAATTAACTAAGTCCGCAATTCTGTTTATTGGTCCATAACTCACGTAGTTTTTTGTTGTTTTTATTGAGTATTTACGGAACAATAAATATTTAACTGTTCTTGTATTGTATTTTCTGTATTATATTATTATATTTTTATTATTAGCCTAAAATATTTGTTTTTATTTCTTCTTTTTTTTTTTTATCAATATTAGCAATATAATTTTACGGCTTAATTTTGTTAAATTATTCTTATAATCGTGAGCTTAGCGTGCGTGATTTTTGCATAAGGGTCGACCGGCTTTGGCATAAAAGCTCTGGCCCTTAAAATTCTTTTTACACATCTGAAAAAATAAATAGAATGATTATTTGAGTTAAAAACAGAAATAAATATTATATCGACTAAAAATAGTCGTGAAGAAATATAAACTATAATAGGCAGGTACCGTGCAGTTGAAGCACTGGCTGTGGTAATTATTGTTGAGAGCTTCTACCCAGCGATCGTCTGCTTCTACGGGGAACCCACAGGCAAAGCATTTTGTTGTAAAGAGTTCGTTCCAATCTGTAAACAAACCACAGAGTGAGAGAGAGAGTAAGAGAAGGAAAGAGTAACAAAGTAAGAGGAAAAAGAGACTATTATTATTGACGTATTGATAAAACATATTGGTAATATTCGTCAAAAAGAGACATTGTCTATATCGATTTCTTACCGGCCTCGCAGTACGGCAATCCTTCCTCGAGAAAGAATGGACTGTTTCCAAAGATTTTCCCGCAGTAAGCACAGCTGAAGCAATCGGGATGATTCAATACGGTTTTCCGATCACATTTAAGCAATCACCCTTTATCTTCCCTTTGCACTTGTTGCACGAGGGAGCAATGAAACATTCGAAACAGTATTCACAGTACAGTTGCCCTTTCTCCTCGACAAATCCAATATCTTGGAGCGGTCGACGACACTGTGTGTTCACACAAACGAAGTGCTCTGGGCACCAGATTTGTCCTAGAGCAGTGATGAATGGACCTCTGCCAAAAAATTAGAAAAACGGTAGACCCTGAAGCCCATCCCTGCAACTTCCCGCTAATTTCATACCTAGGTGCTTAAAATTGGACTACTGATAGTTCATCTCAAAGAGATAGCTTTTCTATGCTTTTGAGCTCTTCGAGCTCAAAAGTCTAATAGAAGTTTTAGAGAACAATATTTTTTTGAATTTTCAAACCGCAATAACTTATGAATGAATCAACCGATTTTCACGCGGCTGGCAGCATTCGACGCAGTTTTTTCAGCCGCATCAAGGATCTTTAAGTTTGAATTGATAAAACAAGGAAATTCGGAGTAATTCCGAAAAAACACTTTTTTGGGTTTTCTTTCGTTCACGATATCTCTTGAACAAATTGACCGATTTTGATCGGCTTGACGGCAATCGACGTGGTTTTTCAAGGTTAAGAGCTGATTAGATTTTGGAGTTGATCGATAGAGCCGTTTAAAAGTTATTCCAAAAAACGACCTTAAAAAAAATTTTTTTCTTAGTTTATTTGAAATTTCTCAAAATCTATCTATCCGAATCGGTTCAAATTCACAGGAAATCTAAGTTTGAGAGAACTGCGATCGTGATTGACGCTCTGTTGAGTCGGTGTACAAAATTTTACCGGGATGGCAGTATCCTTGAGGCGTTGACTGATTTATCGGCGTGTCTTCTCTGTCGATGCAAATAACATTCTCGCAGCCTTTGACTGAGTGCTCACCGAGAGGTGTGTATTAAGAACGCTCGGGTGCGATAGTTGGTGCTTTGCTTCTGCGAACGGCGATCCTGGTCGGGGGATGTACGGCTGTGGAGGTTGTGGTGGAGGAGGGAAACTTCGGCTGGTTTCTTCGTACCGTACTTCACTAGAGTACATTGTCTTGGTGGAGCAGCTGTTGTCTTCCTGGTAGTGTTGACTTCCGGTTTGCATGTTTGACGGCTGAAGCGGCAAGTAAGGCCTGGTTGGAGCAGTAGTCAGCGCTTTCATTATTTCCGACTTCCATTTTTTGGGCGTTGAATTCTAAACTGGAGTTTGCATCAACCTGCTGGCGAAGAGTTTCACGGCGCTCCTGTTCGGTTCTTTCAGTGTCCTGGACCTTTATTTCTTCTTTGAGCTCGCGATAATGCTACTCGGCGGACATAATTCGACTGCTGTTCTGGTTCTGATAATCACAGCTCTGATTTTGTGAGAAGCTAACATGCTTTCCAAATCTTTCATCTTCTTCCTGGCGAATGCGCATTTCAGTTTCTCGCTTCTGTTTCTTAATGTGTCGCATTTTTTCCTCCTTCTCAGATTGCAAAATTTTCAACCGATTAGCTTCTCGGCGTTCTCCTTCCTCTTGCACTCTTCTCATCTTTTCTTTCTCACGTCTGCACTCTTCTTCATACGCCTCGCGATGCTTAAGTTCTTCTTGCTTGGCTTCTTCAATCATCTTCTTGGTCTCAATAAACGACGAAATTTTATCTGCCGACTCAACGTGTTGTCTTCTGCCAGACTAATTTTCAACTTCATTGTCATTCGCTGGTGACTCGCTTAGAGAGACAATTTTCAATGTCTTTTCATAAATAGTAGTCTTCTTGATATGAATATTGCCTTCATCCTTCTCCATGATCTCAGTGTGCATATTGTGTTGATTTTCCACACCCTTGGGACACACTGCCACATCTGGAGGGACGACTTTTGACAGATCTCTACAACCTCTGAATCGGTTTGTTGTTCGAGAATCTCGCAGGGTTTTCAATCTCCTGCTCCTGGTCGTAATCAGTTACTTGCATCCAAGGCGGTGGATTGCACAGTTCGCACTTAACTTCTCGATAAACATGATCTTGCTGATGTTCCGGCCCTCCTGGACCAGTTATTCGTTCACAGATAATTTCGCAAGTGCAAACTTTGCGACAAATTGGCGGTTCTGGGTGGCACTGGTGGCACTGGGGCCTGAACATGTCGATAAGAGCTCGATTCAGTGGAACCAGTCCAGACCAGGGCTGTGGAACAGGTTGGCTAATTCTGGTAGGCGTCAAGGATCTTCTGACACCTTCTGCAGATCCTGGACGGTTTAAGCTCGAGCTTCGAGATTGTCGGACTTCCGAGCATTCGGTGGTCGTTGTCTTGCGATAAAATGGCGCACTGCAAACTGGCTTGTTCTCCATTGGTTCTTTTCCCCAGTTACAATGGCTGAATTCTTCGCGTCTGTTAGTTTCTCTTCTCCGGTTTACGCTTTCGCTTCGCCGACAGGCGTTTTCGTTAAGCTCCGCTTGTCTGTTTTGGACAATGTGTCTCGGACGTCGGTCTAAAACTGGATTCGGGTCGATCGAAATGGGACTTGCTGTAGAGGATAGGTTGCGTCTTCAAGACTTTAAATAGGCGGCCATTGCAAGCTCTTGTTCCGTACCGACGACGGAGGTCGGGAGTATTCGTCAGCTGTCCTAGGAGCTGGTGTTCCTTTAATGTCCTTCTCCTTCAAATAGTTATATTCCGCGTGATAAGATTCTTTTTTTTAGGAATTTTCAGGCTATTTTAGCAAGTACAGCAAGTACAGCAAGATTTCCGATGAAGAAAATGGCAGGAATTTTATACAAACAGTTGGTTAATTAAAAACAAATATTGATTAGCAGCTATAAATTGAGGCGTAAGTTAGGCGAGCAGAAAAAAAAGAAAGAAAAAATAAATAAGCAATTAATAAGAAGCAAAGCATAATGTAAGAAGAAATAAAAAAAAATAACGTAGCTTAGGCGTTATACGATAAATATTTTTTGTAAATTGTCAAACTGCTACAAAAATTCTGAGAAAACTAATTAAAGTAATCGATATTTCGTTTGTAAATAACTGATAATGTATTTTATTTTATTTTTTGTTTTTAAAAAATAACAATTTTAAATAATAGAGAAGAAAAATAATAATAAAAAATAAAATGTACAGATTGCAATTACACAACTGTGTTATTGCAATTCCGTTTAAATTAATTATAATATATTGTTGTTATTATTATATAAATATATAGATATATTATATGTATATAGTATATATTAAGACAACGCGGACGACTTGATCGTTGAGAGTTACTAATAATTAAGCGAGACTTAAGGAGAAGGGTTGAGGTTTTGGATTGAAAGATGAATGAGCTGCTGAAAAAAAAGAATAAGAAAAAGAAAATATGTGCATTTTATATGACTCTCGAAAGAGTAAAGGGTCGCTGGAAATATTATGACTGACGATTGTATGATACTCGATTGTCTGACACATTTCGTTATTTATTAATAATAATTATCAAAAATTATTGTGGACCGCAGCTTTCAACGTTTCCGTTGTCAACGTTGTTTATTTTATGTAGTTATTTATTTATTTATAAATATAAAAATTCTAAAAAGTAAAAAAAGTTTATAAATTTTAAAAAGTAGAATTTATTTTAAAAAAAAAAAAGAATTATTTTTTTTAAAATAAAAAAATTGATTTATAAAATTTTTTTAAATTTCAAGTGTACTGAAATTTTTGTGAGACAAATAACGACATCTGTTGAGCTGATGAGAAAGCTCAAAGGTTAAGTTGAGCTCTATCTTACTAACCTCAAATTCAAAAAAACATTTTACTGTTTTTTAAAAATAATAAAATTAAATTAAAAGTAGCAGACTTTTAATTATTTGTTTCAACAAATAATTAAAAAACAATCTAAAAAAATTTTTTATAATTATTCTACAAAAAATTATCAATTAAATTAGATTTAATAATAAAATTATACATTTTAAAAATATCACTCACCATTGTATGCCTCTATCTTTTTTTCTCTCTCTGGAAATTCCTGTAATAAAAAAAAATAAGTAGTAAAAAGTGAAAAAAAATATGATTAGAAGACAATAAATTGACTACTTACTAATTATTCTTTTATCATTTAGTAAGTAATTTGGATCATGAAATTAATTGCGTAGTAAGCTGTATTTTCGATGACCTTGACACAAAGAAAAATCTTTTTTTTTTATTTTTTTATAATTAAATTTTTTTATGTCACAATAAATAAAAATAAAAACACTCCCACACTAAAACAATAAGAAAAAACGAACACAAAACTTTGATTTTCACTCAAGACACTCGCGACTGACTTTAATAACTGTTTACGTATATAAAACGTCAATGTTTTTTATAAATTATTATTCCCAGCATGAATTTAACGCGAGGAGACCTAAAAACTCATTAATTACTGTGAAACAACTCCAAAAAAAACAATAAATACACAAAAAAACACGGAGCTAAACATTTTCGTGTCATCCGGAACTTGTAATGGCCGTTAATGCGCAGTAACAATGCGCGCAGAAATTCGAAATCTGAAAAGTGGGGGCACCTTGGTGCTGATTGGTCGTTTAAAAATTTCGCGCGAAATATTTCTAGCGCGCGCAATTTGAAAGTGTAATAATTTATTAGAAGAAAAGAGGGCGCTGTTGTCGCTTGCGAGATAAAAAACAATCCCACCTTGTCTTACCGGTAACTTCTAGTTTTTTATCTAACATTTTAAACAACATCTAGCTTCAATTGTACTCTACACCAAAGAGTATAAGACTCTTATACTCTTTGCTCTACACTTTTTACGAGACATAATAATTAGCATTTAGTTAACGAAATAAATAATTTAACCGTTTAAAATTCCTGTAATTATAAAAATTCCAGTAAAAAAATAAACAAAAGACAAATCGAATTGATTAATCAGTAATTAAAAATAAGTCGATTGTCTATTTATGTAACAATCAAGTGATATTGCGTAAAGCAAGTCATTAAAAGCCGGCTCGAGGTTGTCATGCTCAGACAATTTCTATAATTTCTTGAAAACTAAAGAGTTGAAAAAAAAAAATACGATCGATTAAAAGTGCACTTGTATATAAATATACAATAACGTAAAACAGATGACTCAATACATCAGTCGCGCCATTGCCGTTGTAGGACGTTCGTCGTTGTCTTGTGTTAAACGAGGTTTTCACGTTTCTCCTAGAGCCATGGTTATCTCCGTAAGTTTTATTTATTTTAATTATTATTATTATTTTTATTAATAATATAATATATGATGTTTGTATTTAATAGGTTGGTGACAAGCTGCCTTCAGTTGACTTGTATGAAGATGCACCCAGCAACAAAGTAAATTCAGCTGAGCTTGCTTCTGGAAAAAAAATTATTATTTTTGGCGTTCCTGGTGCCTTTACTCCTGGATGTTCAAAGGTTGTTATATATATTTAACTTTTATAATTTTTTACGAAAATTAATTTAGCAGATATTTGTTAATCTTAAGAAATTTTTTACCAAATAAATTATGGCAAAAAAAAATTGAAATTGCAATTTTTTTAAAGGTAATTATTAACAAATTTGTTGGTTAAAAAAATTTTTAAAAAACGGCTAATTTAGATGTCATTAATTTTTTTTTAATTATTAAGGAGTTTGGTAATTTTTTTTTTTGCATTTCATGCTGCAGATAATTTTATTTTATGAGTAGATAAAAACAGCTGATTAGAAAATATGAGGAATTTTTTTAAATAATAATTATTATAACATATGTATGACTTTATTTTTATTTTCTGGAGTAATTAAAAAAAAAAAAAAAATATTAAGTAAAAAAGTTTTCTAATAAAATATGCTTACGCAAGGATTTAACAATAGAACAAATTAAAAGTGTATTTATATTTATAATAGTCTTTAAAGTTATGGCATAATCAATATAAATGTTAATTTATTTATTTATAACTATTACTTACGTAAAGTTTCAATGTAGACACAAGTAATTCTTTACATAACAATTATTTTCAATCAATATTAATAATAATTCTTTCAACAATTTCAGACACATTTACCTGGATACGTAACAAAAGCTGACGAATTAAAATCAAAGGGCATAAATGAGATAGCTTGTGTTAGCGTCAACGATCCGTTTGTTATGTCAGCTTGGGGAAAAGACCAAGGTGCTACAGGCAAGGTAAAATTAATTATCTTTACTGTAATTTTTCATTTGAATATTTATGTAAATAATAAAATAATTTATGAATTTGTAATTAAATAGGTGAGAATGCTAGCAGACACCAACGCTGAGTTCACAAAAGCTCTTGATGTAGCTATGGACCTCGCAGTGTTGGGTGGTACTCGTAGCAAGCGTTACTCTCTGGTGGTTGAGGACGGAATCGTCAAGGAAGTTAACATTGAGCCTGACAACACTGGACTCAGCTGCTCTCTCGCTGATCGTATCAAAGTTTAAACAACTTTGAGCTTACTTTTAATTTTTATTTCTTTTCAATTCTATTTCTATTCCTTCAATTAGTTAAACAAAAAAATTCAACATTCAATTAATATTTTAGATATAAAACAAATCACAATTAAATGTTGAATCATCTAAACATATCCATTTTCTTTTTTATAGCCTTGCATACTAGTTATAAAAAATTTGTTACCTAGTTTGTAAAAGTATTGTTGAATTTCCACTTTGTACACTTGAAAAATAAAAAAATGTGAACAATAAATTTCCTAAAACACTTGAAAGTTTTAAAAATTTTTCAGCAAATTAATTACAATTAAAAAAATGCGTCTAAAAATTTTTTTTTTTAATTTTCACATGTGGAATTTTTCAATTAAATTTTTTATAAATTTTATTTTTTTTTTATTTTTTTTTTTTTTTTATAAATTTTTATTATTTTTAAATTTTCACATGTGGAATTTTTCAATAAAATTTTTTTTATAATAATTTAATTATAAAATGATAAAAAAATTTCTAATGTCTGTCAAACTGTTCCATAAATTGTATAATAATAAAATTAGACACTCTTAAACAATCCACGTGTTGAATCATGCGTTAACATAATAAAAAATCTCGCGTTACTGAAACAAAAATAATTTTTCTATCGTTTATTAATAATTACATTAATCAATTATGTTGTTATTAATAACAATGAAAATTGACTAAGTATAAGTAAAAAATAATTATAATATATTGAACATATATTCATCATCCTAAGCACAATGATTGCCAATTATCAATTATCATCGTGCTATAATAATCTTACACAGAATGACTATCGTAACTCATTAAACAATAACATGAAGATAAAAAAAATTGTTTACATTAGTCATGGAAAAAATCTCAGATAAACAGAATGCTTATCAATTTAAAATTTAAACATAATTCGGAAAAAAATTATTCATACTTGATAATATTAAAGTTACTCTTAACTATTATCACTGGAATTTGTTTCTTTTGGCAAATAAATCTTTGTTCTTAATTAAAACTTATCGAATTGAAATACAAAAAAATAATGATAAATAAAATAATAAATTCATGGTAATAATTAATGACATTAATTAGCAGAGACATTTAAACATTTTTTAATTTTTATTTAAAAATAAACTAGGTCTAAAAAATTATTTTTTAAAAATTGCATTAATAATTTTTTAGAGCTTTTAAAGATGGAATTTTTTAATAAATTATTTGTTAAAAAAAATTATTTGTCTCTTAATTTTAGTATCATTAATAATTATTGTGCTGGAATTTGGTTCAGTTCCAATATAGCTGGTATAGAAGGAACATCAGCGCGTAGATGATCCTTAAAATCATAAGTAATAGCTTTGAGAGCGATATAACCACCAGAACCACTGCGTCCTTTGTGATAAATACCGGCTCCGGCGAGCGGAAACGGTGGATTTGTTATCACAGGCTGTGTGTCTAAAAATGGTATCGTTGATTGTGCAGCATCTTTGTCCAAGTCAGTGGGCCCGAAGTTCAAAAATTGGTTGGAGAGTGAATCGGGCGACGATGGCTGGCGGATTCTGATCGGGACATCTGGATTTGATATTACGAGCTCTCTTCTACATTGGCATAATAATTAGCGATCATTAAAAATTCATTAATAAATAATAAATAAATAATTATTTTTATAAATAATTGAAAAAAAAAATTACCTTTTCTGTTCACTGTTGCCATTAGACACTTCAGTATTAAGGTTGCCAGTCCACTGGCTCTTTTCGAAAGGCCTGATTAACAAACCAGACGAATAGTTGAACGGAGTGATGCGTACTTCGAAATTCAAATGAGACCCTACCATTCTAAATCTTACACCTGTAATTAAAAAAAAAATTTTTTTCAATTTTTCTTAGCGGGAAGTTGAAAAAAAAAGTGATAATTTTCACTGAACAAATGTAGATTTTTTTCAATGTGACTCACCAGTTAAAATATGTTCATCAGGTGCGGTGAGATCATCCAAATCAATAGCACGTTTTTCCCATGACAAAGTGTGATAATCTTCGCCATTGTTGACACCACGATCGCGGATCGTGTAATTATCAACTGGCTTCCAAGAAGCGCTGTTTTCTTCAATTCTACCTCGCTCTGTTAATTTACCCTCTTGAATTTGTACATGGATTATTTGATTAACTTTTATAAATTTAAATCCCGTGATAACTCTGTTGAAAAATAAAAACAATTACTCATACAAAAATTTAAACTAGCAACCTTTGGGTCACTATGTGACTGCCGTGAGTTGTGGACTATAAATAAACGAAATTTTGGTTTATTAAATAATGACTTTTGTTAAATTGCACTGTACTTTCTTAAATGTTGACGTTTTTAAAGATATAAGCTCAATATATAATATATATAAATATATGAAAAATTAATGTGGGTACTCAAATGAAAGGCCTCGATGAGTGTAACATCGGGGTCAGCTTATATCTTTAAAAATGTCAATATTTGACAAGATAGCAAAGTCAGTTCTTAATTATTGACATTTTTAAAGATATAAGCTCATTCCGATGTTACATTCATCAAGAGCTTTCATTTGAGTACCCACATGCATTTTAATATATTTTTCATATATTCATATATATAACTATATAAAATATATGAAAATTGATGTGGGTACTCAAATGAAAGGTCTCGATGAGTGTAACATCGGGATGAGCTTATATCTTTAAAAATGTCAATATTTCACAAGTTAAAAGGTCGTTTCTTAATTATGTATCTAGAAATTTTTTTTATTCTCTCAATAAGATGGATAACTTTAATAAAAAAAAAAAATAAATTACTTGTTGTTAGCAACATCAGAAGTAACGTCTCGTAAATTGAAGTAACGATCGGAGCTGGAGTTATGATCATCACAGTAACACATACAGTAGCTGCAATGCCAGAATATCCATCGCCACCAACTGTCAACTTTAGTAATTGGCTTTTTACAACTTCCTTTTTTGCCAAACACTCGGCCGTCTTCGTACTCTACGTACTCGTACCGTCGATTGCTGTTAATATCCTGTTTAAAGAACCAGAGCAAAATATTGTAAAATTTTTTTAATTTTTTAGGATACTACCAATCCTAAATTATTTCTCACCGATGGACAAATCCACATATCTGAGTCAAAGTACTGACAGTTCAAGACTTTTCCATTGCATTTACGCTGTTTAGCGCAGAACAAATTGTCGAAACATCCTTGGACGTTTGAGTAGCTGTAGTAAGCACAGTTCTCGCGACAACTCTTCGATGGATTTAGATCAACTTCATTTACTATGTAGCCTTGGAATAATTGTTTCAACTCAGTGTAAGTTACGTCTAATTAAAATAAATAAAAAAAATAATTATAATACATTGTTATTTATTATTACTTATTATCTCTGATGACCAAAACAACTTTTAATAATACCTTCTACATGCTTGTCTGGATCACATCTCCAAAGATCGCGTGGTGCAAAGGCCATTGCTGTTCGCACTGCTCTTAATGTCTCAGATACTCTTGTTTTATAATCATCAAGAGTTTTTAGTCTCTCATCGTGAAAAGTACCTACAAGATATATTTAAAAATATTATACAGTTTATAAAATAATAATTCAAATTTTTGATATTATGGAAAAGTATTGGTCCTATAGAAAATTTTTCAAAATAAAATATGTTCAAAATTTAATTCTATAAAAAAAAATGTTTCTTATGAATTTAAAAAAAAATCAATACTTTTGCTGTAATTCCAAAATTAAGATTCATAATAATCATAAAATTAAATTTGAATTGATTTTTTTGAAAAATTATAAGAAAGATTTTTTTTTATAGAATTAAATTTTTAAACTTTTATTTGAAAAAATTTTTAAAACTAAATTTTTCTTTTTATAAAAATATTATTTTGAATACATATTTATTTTAAGCATAATATTTGTAAGTAAAATATTAAGAAAACAGATAGAAAAATTTATTATTCAAATGCTCGACGATTTAACTTTAAAAATAAGCTTTGTTCTAATCATTTGTCTATAAGCAGATAAGATTACTAAAAAAAAAATAACTTTTATATAATGAATGACAGTGATAACTCACAGAATATAATTATTATCTCACACTATCGGAACAAATAACTCTAAAAAGTCTTTTAAATAAAAAATATACTACGCAACAAAATTTCTTACTGTTTTCAATAAAAAAAAATTGTATTAATTGTTTGTAAATACCATTTTTATGCAAGCGAAGTATTGTGTATGAGAATTGCATCATCATGAACCCTCTGATTTCAGTCATCGCAATAATATTATACAAATTATACAGTAATTGCTGAGGAGACTGTTGTTCATCACATATCTGGGCTATAGCTTCCTAGACAATAAAAAAAAAACCCACATAATTATTTATTTATTTTTATTGAATTTTTTATTAAATTATTTATTTATAAATAAATAAAAATAATTATTAAATTTAGCAAAAAAATAAAAATTTAATATATTCAATAATATAAATTGACACTAATTAATAAATTAATTAACAAAACACCTTGTAAGCGTCAATAAACAAATTTTGCTGGATAATAACATCGGAAATGCGCTCCAGAGCTGCTGAAATCGATACATTTGGATGCGTAAAAACTACATCAGCAAAATTATTCCAATACTCAATATTTATTGGCTCGAAAGTCTGCGTGACAGCGTGTAATTTTTGTAAATAATTGCTGTACATTCCTTCAATAATATTCATATCTTTTTGTACTAATGCCCACAGTCTCAATGAATTTAATGAGTTCAAGTGACGTTTGCCTGTGTTTAAATGTTCATTAGTTATTTTTTCACTGAATTTGTCATAAATTTCAAATACTTTGAAGTAAGCATCATTTTTGTCATCCCTTCCAGATCGTGAATGAATTGGTAAATTTTGGAGTAACAATAAATCGTATCGCAATTTATCTACCGCTGAAAAATTATCCTTCATCGCCCAGGATGACGTACAAAAAATTAACAATAAAATCCACAATTTCCCCATTGTTTTATATTTTTTTAAGCACTTTTTTATTTTTCCTGTGGATTAAAAGTGACCCAGTTTACGTAACGTATAACAAATAATCAATAAAAATTCACCAGTTGGTTAATTAATCGGAGCGCACTGGCAAAATAATTATTATAACTGGTAAATAAAGTCACTTTTTATTTTTATCCATCACTCCACTTATTTTTGTTGGGTTTAATTATTTAAAAATATTTTTGTGGGGTTTAAACATACGCGATAAAGATATTGGATGTTTGAGATAAATTCAATTGTACACGCAAGCATGTACAATCACCAACTGCAAGTGAAACCTTGAGAGATCTCACTACTACCAGGTTTTATAAAATTATAAATTCAATTCAATGTAAACTCCGCTAATCGCATGTGTTTAATGTCATAAATCATTGAGAACATTGCCCGATGCGTAATTTTACATTTTTATTTCCGTATTTGAACATTGTTATTATTTCTTTGTTAAGGTAGATCAAGGTACATTTTATTCTAAGTAATTCTAATAAATAATCTTATATATGAAAATAAAGTTAGCTGATATCTGAAAATTTTTATACTTTTTTTTTCTATTGAAAAAATTATTACAAAAAAAATAAAAAATATTTTCAATTTTCAAAAAACTTGAAAAACTCCGTGCAATTTTTTGAACTATTTTTTAGTTTTAATTCAATTAATAAAAAAATTAAATTTAGTATTAAAATTAATTTAGCAGATATTTAATACTTTTTTAAACAAATAAATTATGTCAAAAAATAAAATTGACTAAAATTAAAAAAAAATTTTTAAAAAATAATTTTTGGAACAAATTTGTTGATTAAAAAAAATTTTTAAAAAGTGACTATTAACTTTAATGACAAAATTTTTATTAAAATTAATTTATCAGATATTTATTAATTTTTTTGATAAATAAATTATGGCAAAAAAAAATTGACATTTAGAAATTTAAAAAAATTCAATTTTTTAAAAATAATTTTTTGGAACAAATTTGTTCTTTAAAAAGATAAAAAAAATTATCAAGTAGCAGCTAACATTAATGAAAGAATTTTTAAATAATTATTTTTAAAAACTAAAATATCTTTGACGTAATAAAAACTTTTCCGTCACAAAAACAATTTATGTAACCAATCTTATCAAATAAAATCAAATGACTTGTAATTTATGACACGATAAAACAAACAATGAGTTTGACATTAGCGTACAGTTTAAACATCAACACATATTATATCGCGTGGGCGCACTTGATACAAAATATTTTTTCGAGTAAAAAACATAAAAAAGGAAGTACATGATGGTTTGAAGCGATGCGATGAACTGAAGCTGACGCGAGTAAAGACGAACTCGAGCACTTAAATGCTACCGATAAAACAATTAATGAATTTAGAAATAGTTACGAAGAAGATGATGAAGAAGACGAAGAAGAACGTGCTGAAATAGTTGTTGAAGTGTCGCGATAAGTTTCGTGGTTGATATTAATTTATAATATTGATATTAATTAATATAAATATAAATATAAATATAAATAACGATAATAATAATTAACAATTAAATGATGCTGGTGATTGTGTGTTAAATTGTTATAATAAGTTTGTATTATAATATCTGTATAGGCACGCATTGTATTTATTTTTTCCATTCATTATAATGTACTTCCTTTCTAAATTTTCGTTTTTTTTTCATTTTATTATTATTATTATCATTATTTTATTATTTTTAATTTTAATTATAAAGTAATTTAATAAAAAAAAAAAAAGAGCAAATTTGTTGCTAGGATAAACTTTAATCATTTGTTTTTTTTTTTTATTTATATTTTTGACATTTATATTCAAGTAACTTAAATTTTTAGTGACATTTTTTTTAAGTAAATTTTATTTAAATTTCAAGTTTTATTTTCATTTTTTATATAAATATTTTATAATTATAAAAATTTACAATGCGTGAAATAGTGCACATACAAGTAGGACAATGTGGAAATCAAATCGGAGCTAAGGTTTGTATTTAATATAAATTTCTCTTTTAATTCCAATAAAATAAAAAAAAAATTAAAAGGCCATTTGGCAGCCGAAATGGAAGTAAATTTTGTAGTTCAATAAAAATAATAAGTTTAGAAGCATTTAATCAATTAAAAGTTTTAAAATTTTAGTAATTTTGAGAAAAAAAAAACCAATGCAACAGCAAAATTCATAAAAAGATTTCAAATTTTTATTTTTATTTGAAATATACATCATAATATGAAAATTAAAGCTTATTTAAAGAGATTTCAGGTACATTTTACAGAAATTTAATACAGTGTTACATTCAATAGTTTATCGACAAATAAACTGTAAAAAAGTTTTATTTTTATGATTTTTCAAATTTCAAAATTCTGTAATTTTAAAACTACATGGCCAAATAAGCTCATATTTTAACTTGACCTTTGTATTTATATCAATAAATACCGCGTTCTATCCCATATATATATATATACATACATTTATCAACTTTTTAACCATATCGACATTCTAGAGAATTTTTCATTTGTACGAGAAAAAAACAATTAGTTTATAATTTATAATCAGTTTCAAAGACCATTAAATATCTAATAGAGGTATAATATTTTGGTTTGGATTATTCAAATAATTTATAATTGGACTATTGCTACATCAAAATGTTAAAAAATCACCCTCTAAAAAATAAGGAGTTAGAGCAATTGCTAATTAGACCGTCGATAATGTATTTTATAAATTAGTTTGAGTCAAAATATATCAAAAATTTTGAAAAGTTCCGTCATAAGAACCACTGCAATAAACTGAAAAAAAAAAAATTAACTTGATTTAAGAGAAAAATCCTTGAACCAAGAATATAACTTTAAAGCGAGTAATTGTCTTGAATCAAGTAAAATTTCCTCAAATCAAGAAAAATTTATTAGTTCAAGAGTTTTTCTACTTAAAGCAAGAAGATTAAGTTCTTCAAAATTATATACTTTGGCTGCCCAATTTTAAAACACAGTAGTATTGCTGCATTTTTTGGAACTTTTAGACCTTAATTTCAAGTATTTTTTCTTAAAAATATTTATATTCATATAATAAATCAAATTTTTTATCAATTAGACGCGCAAATTTTTTTTTAACAAGAAATATTTAAAAAAATCTTAAAATTGTCAGTTACTGTGCTTTGAAATTGGGCACACGCATAAAAATTATTTGTTAGGACAACAAAAAACAGGGATAACAAAAAAATATGCTGTGATAACAAATGAATTTACTTACAATAACAAACCAACTAGTTTATTTAACAAGATCAACTAAGTTGCAATAACAAATGAGTTTTTACTGCTCTAAAGTCAATTTTGTTGTCTTAACAAAATCGCTTTGTTATTATAATAAATTTTTTTGTTGCAATAACAAAATAGTTTTCTTATCAATAAAATTTGTTGCTTGAACAAGCTATTCCGTTGCTTTAACAAATCGATTTGTTACTTCAACAAAACTATTTCTTAAAAAAAAATTGAAAGATTTGGTTACAATAACAAAATAATTTTGTGGAGTGAACATATGAATTACTTATTATAATCTATGTGTTTGTTAACACAACATATTATTTGTTATCCCTACACTGATAAAAGGATTTAGTTCTATTTAATAAGATTTAGTAACAGATACTAAATGATTTAGTAACAACCCTTTCATTACCAAATATTTAGTAATAGGTACTAAATCATTTATTAAAGCCCATTTAGTTCCACCAAATAAATATTTAGTAGTATGTAACAAATGATTTATTGCTACTCAATAAATTGTTTATTGGTATCAAAAAAATTAATTTTTTAACTTATTTTAGCGTGTAACCTAATTTTTTAACGTAAAATAAACAAAAATTATAAAGAAAAGAATCTTATTAATTTATTTTCCAGTTTTGGGAAGTGATAAACGACGAGCACGGAATAGATGCGACGGGTGAATACCGAGGCGACTTGGATCTGCAATTAGAAAGAATAAACGTGTATTACAACCAAGCAAGCGGGGGAAAATATGTTCCGCGAGCAATTTTAGTCGACTTGGAACCAGGAACAATGGACTCGGTGCGTTCGGGGCCTTACGGCCAGATCTTCCGGCCGGACAATTTTGTCTTTGGGCAGTCTGGAGCGGGCAACAACTGGGCCAAGGGCCACTACACCGAAGGCGGAGAATTAGTAGACGCGGTTCTTGACGTGATAAGAAAAGAAGCCGAGGCTTGTGACTGCCTCCAAGGGTTCCAGATGACCCACTCTTTAGGCGGCGGAACCGGCTCCGGTCTGGGAACACTTTTGATTTCAAAGATCCGGGACAACTTTCCGGACCGTATGATGGCGACCTTTTCAGTGGTTCCGTCTCCGAAAGTCTCGGACACTGTCGTAGAGCCCTACAACGCGACCCTGGCCACCCACCAGTTAATCGAGAACACTGACCAGTCTTACTGCATCGACAACGAGGCTCTCTACGACATTTGCTTCCGGACTTTGAAGCTCGCCTCGCCGAGCTACGCGGATTTGAACCACCTGGTGTCTGTGACGATGTCGGGCGTGACTACATGTCTCAGATTTCCCGGGCAGCTTAACGCAGACCTGCGGAAGCTGGCCGTTAATATGGTTCCGTTCCCCAGGCTCCATTTCTTCATGCCCGGCTTCGCGCCTCTGACGGCCCGCGGAAGCCAGCCGTACAAAAATTACTCCGTTCCGGAGCTGACCCAGCAGATGTTCGACGCAAAGAACATTATGGCCGCTTGCAATCCGCGGCACGGAAAGTATCTGACCGTCGCTGCCATTTTCCGGGGGAAAATGTCCATGAAAGAAGTCGAGGAGCAGATGAATAATGTCCAGAATAAAAACAGCCCGTATTTTGTTGAATGGATTCCCAATAATGTTAAAACTGCGGTCTGTGATATTCCCCCGAAAGGACTTAAAATGTCCTCGACTTTTATTGGGAACTCGACTTCTATCATGGAACTGTTCAAGCGGCTCTCGGAACAGTTTAATGCCATGTACAGGAGGAAGGCGTTCGTTTATTGGTACACCAGCGAGGGAATGGACGAAATGGAATTCACCGAAGCTCAGTCTAATATGAATGATCTCGTTTCTGAGTATCAAGAGTATCAGGATGCTCCTCTTTATGATGATAATGATTTTGATGAAGATGAAGTCGCTGAATGATTGGTTTTATTTTTTAATTTTTAGAAAAATTTTTTTTTGTATTATTTTAAATATATTGGGAATTATTTTATGGAAAATATTCGTTTTTTTGTCATTTTTTATTGCTTATATGGCAATTGAAATTTTCTTTTATATTTCTCACAGTTTTTGTAGATATTATTATTTAAAATTATTTTAAATAAATTGGGAATTATTTGATGGAAAATATTGTTTTTTTTGTAATTTTTTTAACAAACAAATTAGTTTTAAAAATTGCAATTTTAATTTATTTAAATTTCTACTTGTCAATTTTTTTTTTTGTAATTTATTTGTTAAAAAAATTATAAAATATCTGCTAAATTAATTTTCATTTTTTATTGTTTGAATTAATATGTCGAGTGAAATTTTCTTCTTTTATATTTCTTCACAGTTTTTGAAGATATTATTATTTAAAATTATTTTTAAAAAATTGGGAATTATTTGATGGAAAATATTGGTTTTTTTGTAATTTTCTTTTTAACAAACAAAATAGTTATAAAAATTGCAATTTTAATTTATTAAAGTTTCTACTTGTCAATTTTTTTTTTACAATTTATTTGTTAAAAAAATTATAAAATATCTGCTAAATTCATTTTCATTTTTTATTGTTTGAATTAATATGTCGAGTGAAATTTTCTTCTTTTATATTTCTTCACAGTTTTTGAAGATATTATTTAAAATTATTTTAAATAAATTGGGAATTATTTTATGAAAAATAATGTTTTTTTTTTTTTGTTATTTTTTAATTGTATAAAAAAATGTGTCTTATAATTTTTTTAGGACCAATAAAAAAGCCGTAATTAAAAAATTACAATTTTTATATTTAGCAAAAATTTGAATCATTTATTATGAGTCTTAATTTTGAAATTACGCTAAAAATATTAGTCATAAAAAAATCATAAGACATTTTTTGTCGAAAATTAAATTTCCTAAAACTTTTTTATAGGACCAATATTTCCGATGTGAGATCTAAAAATTAAATAATTAGTTTAAAAATTTTGGCATTAATGATAAAGATACCGATATGAGTATCAAAATTTAATCTACTGCAAGTAACTAAATAATAAATAATGGACCTTGGCAAAAATTGACAATTATGTATTATCTCATCGCGTACGAGGACAACCCGCTATTGCGTATCACTACCAGACGATACACCCAACAAATTAAATAAATAAAATGCAAACTATGAATGAATCATACACGGGATAGACCGCCGCTGTGATCCGCTGTGATTATCAATTTTGAATTTATTTAAAAAATTAAAGTTAATATTTAATGATTAGATAATTATTATATTATATTTTTTCTATTTAAGCGCTTGCGTTGTTTTTGGCCTTCATAGATATTTTTTAATTTATGATGATATCAATTCGCTCAAGGAGCAATCACTTAAATGTTACGATGTGAAGTGATTGCTATTTTTATTTATTTTTTTTTTTTAAATTGTTCTTTTTTGGACCGCTTAAATTACAATTTTTTATTTAGTAGTAAAATTTTTTTTTGATTGGTTTTTATTTAAATTAACAATGAGGGAAATAATAAATGTCCAGCTTGGAAAAGTAAATCATATTAAAAAATATAATTATTAAATTGATTAAATTGATAAAATAATAATTTTGGGAAGTAATTGCCAATAAAGACGATATTAATGAAGACGATCGATGATTTAGTGTCAAAATTTCCGTATTAACGTCTCAATATATTTTTTACCGAACCTCAAGGTAATAAAGAAGCTATATATTATTAATTTTATTAATTATATTGATTAATAATTATTAAATAATAATTTAAGGTCATAAATTTGTCCCACGAGCAATACTGATTGATCCAGATCCAATTAGCATAAATTTAACGGAATTAAACTCGGTGAGCCGTTTATTTAATCCGGAAAATGTGATTACCGGTGAATCTGGAGCATCAAACAATTGGGCGGCGGGTTACTATACCGAAGGATCGCTATTAATAAATCGAGCCTTGGAAGCAATTCGACGAGAAGCTGAGTCCTGTGACCTAATCCAAGGTAATCGACTCAAGATTGCTTGATACACTAATTCTGTTATATTAAATCATCTGTATACTCTATATTTATACCAGTCTAACTATTTTAGTTCTTTTATAAGCTTCACTGCATTAAATGTAATGCGTTGTTATGTAATTATGGAATTATTAATTTCATTCAAAGTGATCAGCGCAATATATCAATTTATATAATTTAATCAACTTTAATAATTATTCATTTTTAATAAATTATCTATTGAATTGATATTTATTAACTTTTGAAGAAAAAAAAATTATCTTTTTCCTGGTGAATTATAGTTTGAAATTATTTTTTAATTATTAAATAATTTTATTATTTATTAAGTTAAAAATGAAAGAAAGGGAAAATTTTTTTTTTTCTTTTTATTTGATAAATTAATAAATAGAAACTATTGGTAAAGTATAAATATATAAGGCTGTAATAAGGTAAAGGACCCAGTTATTGATTGACACTGAACTAGTTATTGACCCTTGCAGTTTTATTTTAATTAAATAAAACAAATCGACTTTAATAAATTAATAAATATAATTTTTGAATTATGAATTTTAAGAGTAGTTGGTTTTTTGAGAACAATGTATTTTTTTAATTAGAATAAAATTGTAAGTGTCAATCAACTAGGCCAGTGTCAATAACTGGGTCTTTTACCTTATATAATAAAAAATTATTTAAAAAGAGCCAAAATTTCAAAATAAATAAATTAATTTTTAGATTTTACTTTCAAAAATTATTTTTAAAAACTGTGAAGAAATATTAAAGAAGAAAGTTTCAATAGAATTGAAAAGACGGACTTTTAAGAGGCTTTACACGTGATTCAGGATTTAATATCAAAGTATCAAGAACGTCAGAAAGGTAAAGCTAAGGATCAGGATAAGGATTAGGATCAACACTCGTTTATTTTCTCATTTCTTCACTCTACACTTAACATAACTAAAATCAGTGAAAATTCATTTATAATTATCAAAATTATTTAAATAAAAAATCAAAAAGACTTTTTTTTTTATTTTAATTGCTTATACTGTATTTATAGTAAATAATAAGTAATTTATCAAGCACAAATTATAATAATTTTTAACACCAAGAATTTTTTACCAATCTGACGGCAATAAATAATTTTTTTCCCACATTTTTTATCGCATAAAAAATTCATTAAAAGTTAAAAATATTTTTTCCTTATAAAAATTATCCTTTAAATATTATTTTATTTTTATAAAACTGTAATAAGACAAATAGAATAGAATTGTAATTCAAGCATATTCTATTTAGCAAAGTACAATAAAGTTCTTCAGTAACTTAAATTTAAATATAATCAATAGTTGAAATTTATCAAAGCAAAAAAAATTTAATATAATGATTAAAAATACATTATAAAATAAATTTTAAACTAAAACAAACATCAATATACAAACACTCGTATAAAATAACTAAAAAAAAAAAAATTGATAAAAATTAAATAAGCCAATTAATGAGATTAAAAAATGAAAGATTATTCGCATAAAAATTAAAATAATCAGTCTGGACTACTCTTGCTCGCAAGTTTCAAAATCATCAGCAGCCTCTTCAGCTTCAAAGTCTTCTTCAGCGGTAGCCTCCTGGTACTGTTGATACTCAGACACCAAATCGTTCATATTAGACTCAGCTTCAGTGAATTCCATCTCGTCCATGCCCTCGCCGGTGTACCAATGAAGGAAAGCCTTTCTTCTGAACATAGCGCTGAACTGTTCGCTGATTCGCTTGAAGAGTTCCTGAATGGCGGTGGTGTTACCAATGAAGGTCGAGGACATCTTGAGTCCCTTCGGAGGAATGTCGCAGACCGCAGTCTTGACATTGTTTGGAATCCACTCGACGAAGTACGAGCTGTTTTTATTCTGGACGCTGAGCATCTGCTCGTCGACTTCCTTCATGGACATTCTGCCTCGGAAGACAGCAGCGACGGTGAGGTATCGTCCGTGTCTGGGGTCGCAGGCGGCCATCATGTTCTTGGCGTCGAACATTTGCTGGGTCAGCTCCGGAACGGAGAGAGCTGAGTACTGCTGCATCGAGCGAGATGTAAGAGGCGCGAAGCCGGGCATGAAGAAGTGGAGCCGCGGGAACGGAACCATGTTGACGGCCAGCTTCCGCAGGTCAGCGTTCAATTGTCCGGGGAACCTCAGACAAGTGGTCACTCCAGACATCGTCAGAGAGACAAGGTGGTTCAGATCTCCGTAGGATGGATTGGCGACCTTCAATGTGCGGAAGCAGATGTCGTAGAGAGCCTCGTTGTCGATACAGTAAGTCTCGTCGGTGTTCTCCACCAGCTGGTGGACTGACAAGGTCGCGTTGTAGGGCTCGACAACGGTGTCGGACACCTTCGGGGAAGGCATCACTGAGTAGGTGTTCATGATTCTGTCCGGGTACTCCTCACGGATCTTAGAGATCAGCAGGGTTCCCATTCCTGAGCCAGTACCACCTCCCAGAGAGTGGGTCAGCTGGAAGCCTTGAAGACAGTCGCAGTTCTCGCATTCTTTGCGGACTACGTCCAAGACTGAGTCTACCAGCTCAGCGCCTTCGGTGTAGTGGCCCTTTGCCCAGTTGTTACCCGCTCCGGACTGCCCGAAGACGTAGTTGTCCGGGCGGAACAACTTCCCGTACGCTCCTGAACGCACTGCGTCCATCGTTCCTGGCTCCAAGTCCAGCAGGATTGCTCGCGGGACGTATTTTCCTCCGTTTGTTGAGGTTGCGACTGGAAGAATTTAGTTTTTTAATTTTTTTAATTTATTTTTAACAGTATAGCTATTTTTGTGACAAGAAATTAATTTTTAGAAATTTTATTTTTTTTATGAGGAAATTAAAATTTTTGAGGAAATTTATTTGAGTTGGAAATTAATAATTTTATACAGAAAACTTGAGAATTTTTATTTAAAATTGTTTTTTTCCCAAATTTAAATAAAAAAAAAAATTAATTTTAATAAACACGGAAAAAGTAAAACTGTAATAAATATATATAACAGTCGTAATTAAAAAAAAAATTTCTTAAATAAAATAAAATTTCCAATGGTTTTGAAATCTCAAATTTTCAAATGTTTTCGCGATTCAACGTATGTATTGTAAATAAATAATTTGCTTTAAAAACAAAATGAAGTTGTAAAAATAAACAATGAATTTCCATATCTATTTTGCTCTTACAATTATATAGTGAGAAAATATCCTTTTTATTAGAGAAACTTTCAAATTGCTACAATATTTTTCAATATTATTCAACACAATAATAACTCTGAGCTGGAATAAATAATTCAAGATTAAGTACACACGTGAATAAAAATTGTGAAAAAGAAATTTTTTCACTTTAGTAAAAGATCAATTTTTAGTTACAAAAAAAAAAATTTATTAGCAAAAAAATAAATAATAATTACTTTATATTTTTAAAGTGATTGTTTCATTATTAAGAAAATAAACTTTTTCTATTATTATGTGTACCAATCCCATAATATTATAGGAACCATTCCCATAATATATTGAAGCTATTCCATTATTGTATAGGAACGTTTCCAATAAACTATGGGTATGGTTCCCATAATGAGTATAGGATTAATGCCTATAATGATAATTTTATTATAGGAACCACTCCCATAATTTTTAGAAAGATTCCTATAAATTTCTCTCCGTGTAATCACTTATTTTGGATATTAAATTATAAATTGTGGCTTTTATACTTTCTACATTAAGTTCTGTAATATTTATATTTTTGCCACCCCGATGTCCGCTTTACTGTTTGAAACTATAAAAATTAACCGGAATCCGAGTGAATATTACAGTTTATACTTTTTTCCGTGAAGAGAAAAATTCTTGAACCAAGGAAATAATTTTAAAAAGGTTTATTTGTCTTGAATCTAAACAAAAAATTCTTGAATCAAGGAAAATTTATTTAAACCAAGAAAAATTTCTTAGTTTAAGAATTGTTTTACTTAAATCAAAAAGATCAAGTTCTTTAAAATTATTTAATTGATTCAAATAAATTTTCTTTCAACAAAAAAGTTACTAAAAGAACGGCTAAAAAATAAAGTTGTTTAAAATTTTCATTTTTTTCAAAATAAATTCTTAAGAGAAATTGGTTTTTAAATGGAAATGATATTTTATTAATTTTTGAGAAAGTATTTATGAAGATAATATGTAATTAATAAAAGTTTATTGCTTGAGAAAAAAAATTTAACTTTTGATCAAGTTTATTTTGATCTTCTTTATTTGAATAAATTTTTTTCACTAGTAATTAACTAACTACATGTTAATACTAAGCAAAAAATTATTTTGCTAGAGTGCCGTTAATTGTTAAAAGCATTGAATGTCGGTATTGCATGTTAAGAATATATTATTAAGACATATTACCGAAAACCCGTAAGCCGAGGACTAAAATAACCAACGGAAATGCATATACGGGTTATCCCGCATGCCGTTAAGTTTTCAAATTAGTTTCTATCAATAATACTAAATATTTTATTCATGTATTCTATTAACTCTTTGACATACTTGTCTTGGTAAGCAAAGATAAAGTACACATAAAATAATTTTTCAAGTAAAATTAACTAATTATTAAATTGATGTTTTGATTTTCGAAACAAAATAAATAAATAAAATGATTTATAATACAGTAAAAATAATGATGGTATGAATTTCGCGACAACTTTAGCATAAACTTACAAGTATGTACAAAGGATTTATTTCGGTCTTAGTGAAGAACACGAGTCATTCCTTGGTTATTTTATTTCATTTCATTTAATCCTTTTTTTCGTGTTTCTCGTCTTGGACTTTTGGCTAGCGCTATTTTAGATCGCGAGACGATTGCTCTACTCTTGGAATCAGAAAATAAAATCCTGGGGTTGCGATAAATTAAACGAGACAATTTTTACTCTTGTAAAAAATTACGTTGTTCGTAAAAGTAAAATTATTTAATTGTCGATTAATTTAATTTTATTATTTAATAGGTTAATTGCTCACCGGAAGCTTCATTGTAATAAACGGCAATTCTTTCTAG